AAAATGCATTATACTATACTATATGCATAATATGTAATATAAGTTTAAATTATGAAATGAAAAATGTTCAGTACAAATCCTTAAGTAATATAAAATGCTTTTTACAATATTCATATAAAAAAAATGCTACGGAAAATCCTTTTCAAGACGCTTACTCCAAACGCCTCGAAAGAAGTTTTCTCGCATATTTTATAGCAATAAATTTTTCTATAATTTTTACTTTTCTCCTTCTGCTCTTTCTCTTTTTCTTCCTTTTTTCTTTGTTGACATAAAAAGAAATCAATTTTATTTTTACTTTTGCATTTCCTGTTTCTCATACTACTTATCATTACTTTTAAGCTGCGCATTTATCATTTTTATATTTCTCTTCTATTATTTTAATTTTTTTTTTCTTACATTTTTTTTATATTATGTATGTTTTTTTTCTTGACTCTTAACTTATACTTTTAGTTATTTTTAAATAAAAAAAATTGATTGAAAATAAAAAATAATTTTATAGGTCGTGACTTTTATGACATCTGTTGCTGTGTAATTGCTTTTATTGCCTTTGGCTTTTGTTGCTTGAATTCCAAATCAATATTTTTTTTTAATAATTAATCTTAACTTGATTAGGATTTTAGGTTACTAAACCTTTTGTCGAACTTTGATACGTTATTGAGCCCTTTTTAATAATTAATTGACAATTAATTTTTATCAGTTATAAAGTCATTGTATTTTAAAATTTAATTAATATATTTATAAATTACTTTCCGTTAACGACTACTTGACATTTTTTTATATTACACATATACTAATCAATAAAAATTTAATTAACTTTCATAATTTATTTTTATTTCCATTTTATTCATTTACATTAAATAAAATTCAAATTATGTAGTCTTCTTAATAACAGTATATTCTCATGTATACGTTAGGCTCACAAAGCGAAAACGCTTATTGAGCAAAATAACAGCCACAACGCGTAGTGTGTAATTTACAATGACCACGAAACGAAATTCATGTTGTGGCACTTGCTAGTCCGAAAGCGTCATATATAACAAATAACGGCCATGCAGAGAAATTTGTATTATATATTTAAAATCAGTCAGAAATGCCTGCAGTAATTGAGAATTGTAGTATCATTTTATTTTATTCAATTTTTGATTAAAGATCTATAAATTTTAAAATATGTTTGAAAATTTGTTTTCATTTTGACTTCTACAACACTAGCCGCCATTCTTATTAGAAATGTTTTTACCCTTTTTCATACTTTTTTGTATGAGTTCAACCTTGGGCACGAGTTCAACCCTCGGTACTATCAGTTTTAAAAAAAAAATATTTACGAATAATCAAATATAAGAAATAATTCGAAGTCTACTAATGGTGGGTATTTGACAATACTCGAAATTTAATTAATTGAGATATATTTTATATATATATTAAATACACACAAATTACATATTTAAATGTTAATGTTTAATATTTCATATTAAATATATTATTATATATATATAAAAATATATATTATTATATATATTTTATATATTATATTTTATATTATATTATTATTTTTTCGTTTAAAAATTTATTAAAATTAGTAGTTATAAAAATGTATATATAAAACTCCTAACAATTATTAATTATTTATGTTGATTTTTATTTTATATAATTAATATAGTTTAGAATTTTATGTTAATGTTTTATTTATATTGTTTTTAAAACTATTTATTTTTATAATGATTGATATCCTTTTAATTTATTAGTCTACTTTTTTCTATTTAATTTTTCTTCTTATTTCCTGAATATATTTTGTTAAAATATATATATTAGTATTTAAAACATATATATTATTATTTAAAATATTTTTTTCAATTTTATTTCACTTTTTGTTGTATATACTTCTTTTTCTGTTTTTTTTTTCTATTATCTTTCTAATTATATTTTTAAATATTTCTTACTTTTACTTTTATTTTTAATATATATCAAAACTTGTTATTCTATTAGTTTCTGCTTTACTTAAGCCGTGAAAATGTACTTATCGCTGGTATAGTAAACTTGCAGTTTATTTTCATATTTATTTCTTAGTGGTTTTTTATTTTTTTTATTTATTTTATTTATTTTATTAAGAAAATTATCAACACTGAAGTCACAGTGCATAGTAAAGGCAGCAAATTATTTTTCTCAATTTTCTTGCATAATAAATTCCTCCCTAGGGTGGTCATTGTTAAAATTCAAAGAATTTAGTAACCATAATTTTTGTTTTCATTTTTCTTCGTACTACAGCTGGAGAGTTACTTAAATATTAAGTTACTGACTCATTTCCTTAATAAATTATTGCGTTGTTGTAATTTTAGCATATTTTTTCTTATATGGGTCCTTGCCTAACTCTATACCTTTCTTCATATGCCGATGCCTCTACATTGTCCTTGTGCTCTTCGGTTTCACTTTGAAATACAAATTTTTTTGGTCCCTACATACTTGTGCCTGCATTCAATTTCTTTTTAATATGCCAGTTTTATTATTTGACGCTAGCTGACTTTCAATGCTTTGGGTAATACGCATTTGGCTTTGATTATTATTGTTATTTTATGCCAAAATCAAGTTCTGTAGCTTGAATAATCTTGCCCTAGTGACTTTGTTACTGAGATTTCTTATACGCACCCAAAATTATGCTACAAGGATATTATATTTTATTGTTTTTAGCTTATGCTTGGTTAGTAATATGCTTGTGTGTGTGTGAGTGGTTCGAAATCATCAATAATTCACAATTATTTGTACACCATTTGTTGCAAGAATTTTGATATAAAAAAAAAAAAAATTCGCTATACTTGTACTACAATATTCTTACCTCGTATTTCTGTAAAAAAAAATAAAAAAAATTGAATTTCTTCTGTGCCGCATATATATTCCGATACCGTACGGAATCTTATTGCTGCTTGTAGCTACTTGTAGTGGTTCATATTACTTTAACAATTCAATTTGCGAACCCTTCTCGTTTTTCAAGTAGGTAACCAAGTACAAATTTATGCTTTTGCTGCTTAACAATATAACAACGCAACGCAACGCAGTTACAAAATCGCAAACAATTTTATTTATATAAAAAATTTATTTTTACAGCCCACATGTTGATTTCATTTTGCAATTTTCCAATTGAAATAATTTTTGTTTATAAAAATGCTGCTAGCAGTTTTCAAATTTCAAAAGAATTTATAATAATACGTATCGTATAGTTGTGAGGGGGTTAGAGTAGCATAGAGATTCCTGTTTGTATATCTAAAAGTGTTGTTCAAATTCTGTAAAGCTGCAAAATTGCTGCCACAACTGTGAGTTATATTGTTTCATTTAAATCGTTTTAAAAATAAACTTCAAATAAAGAAAAATATCAGTAACAATAAAACATTTCAAAATAATTGCTATACATTTTGCGGTGTTACCAAAATATTAGACCATATATGAGCATGTCATTTATAACTTTAAATTTGTATAACAATATAAAAAGAATTTAAAAGTACCGAATTTAATAATAAAAAAATTATACATGATTTTATTTTAATATAGTTAAGTAGTCATATGAATTTTTATATCAAAGACCTCTTTAAAAGGCAAACATCAAAGGAAGGATTTCAGTTTAAACTCTCTGTTACTTAGTAATAAGCCGTTTAGATACAGTACTGCTTAATATTTCATCAAATAACTGAAATTTTTTCAGTATAAATTAATTGTTTTTCTTAAAAACAATGCACTTGCCTCTGGTACTTTAAGAAACAAACACATATATCGCAGCTTTATAAATGCATACCTTCTGCTCAAAAAGTATCCGGATTTTGTTGTTTGTTAACCACTCTTAAGTAATAGAACTTTATAAAAAAAAATTTTTTTTGTTATGTTGGTACTCCCTTTCTTGATATATGGTACAAAGGCCATCTGTCAATTACATCAGCTGTTTATGTGAGACTACCTCAAGTGCATTTAGCGATTTTTACTATGGAAAATTCTTGTTGTACGCGATTTTTTGACCAAACACGGCACCACTGTCATCGCTCAGGCACCATATTCGTCAGATCTGGATACGTGTAAAATTTCCTGTTCCCGAAACTCAGATTGGCCCTTCGTGGTAAGCGTTTTGAGTCGATTGAATCGGTAAAAGAGAATTCGCTGAAGGAACTAATAACCATACCTTCACGGGCCTACGAAAAGTGTACGGAAGATTGTGTTAAGCGTTGGCATATGTGTATCGCGTCAGAAGGAGCATATTTTAAAGAAGATAAAATAAATTTGGAATAAAATTTAAATTTGTGTGTTTTATTTACAAAATCCGAGTACTTTTTGAGTAGTTCTCGGTTCAGAACAACTATTTTTTGTAAAAAAAAAAAATAACGATATCCATAATATACAAAGTTTGATATAATTTATTCTTGCATTTCTTCAATTTTTTTATTATACCTATATATAATGTATATATTTGTTATATTTTTTTATTTTTTTTTATTTAATTTTTATTTTAATTTTTTTTTATATTTTTTTTATATTTTTTTTATATTTTTATTTATGTTCTTATTTATATTTTTATTTATTTTAATTTATTTTTTTTCTATATATTTCTTTTAATATTTTTTTTAAATTAAAAAAAATCTTTTTGATAAGATAATAATAATAATAATAATTTTTTAAATGGTTTTAATATCAGTAAATTTATGCCAATCATGTAGTGTTTTACACCAATAGTTCTCCAAAACATTCTTCTTTTTATTTATAATGTGGAAGTAGTTGCAAGATTTTGTCAGCATTAAAAATTATAAACTTGTATTATAATGGCTCATAAAATAGTTTCTAGCTATTCTATGTATAGCTATTATATGTATATAAATATATATAAAACGTATATACTAATTATATAAGCAATTTACTTACATTACATGTTCAGTAATTTAATATTAATATGAATTGATTTTGCTTAAAACTTTTATACTTTGTACTTCAATACACAGACATTTTATTTGACTTTCCTTTTTTTTTTTTAGCAATTATTCCGCTCACAGAACCCTGGACTTGCTGCTGCTACAAATGCTGCTGCTGCAGCTGCAGCCGCCACATCCGGCGCACCACCTGGCGTACCAAATGGTACCTTACAATCACAGCAAATGCAAATGGCTGCCGCTTCACAACAATTTTTGGCTGCACAAAATGCTGCCTATGCAGCACAACAAGCAGCACCATACGTTATCAATCCAGGACAAGAAGCACCTCCATATATGGGTGTGATAGCACAAATGCCACAGTACTATGGTGTTCCATGGAATATGTATACGGGTAATTTAATACAGCAAGGCACACAACCAAGACGGCCATTGACGCCATCACAGCAGGGCGCGGAAAATCAATCTTACCAGGTGAGTAATGTAAAGGCAATTAGCCATGTAAATATAAAAATATATAATAAAATTATATGTAAAATATGTAAGCGAAAATAAAAAAAAATAATATAAATTGCAAATAATTTAAGATTGAAAAGTGAAGCTGTAAAAAAGCTGCTTAAAATATTCAACTAAAAATTGTTTGTTATGTACACAGCAAAAAAAAAAAGTTGATTGTAAATTGTTTTTTGCACAAATATTTTATGTAAAATTATGAAAAAATGTGTTGTGTAAACAAAAATACTAAATATATATATACATATAATACCTAACCATATTTTTTAAATAAATTATATACAAATACTTTATATATTTATTTTTAAATATTTGTATATAAACATAATAAACCTAAAAAATGTATTTTCTTTTTTTCTTTACTGCTCATAACTTCATAACCACCCAACAACAAATAAATATCAAAATCGTCAAATAATTTCAAAAATACCAAATACCAAATATATAAAACAAAAACAAAAACAAAATCATATCTAACCCTGTAAAAAATGTATAAAACATTAAACAAACAACATCGTATGAACTCCCCAAACAAATCGGTGGATACTCTCACTCAACTGAATTGTGTACATAGGTCATACCGGCATTTTTTGATCAAAGCGGTTCACTTGTTGTGGGACCACGCACAGGTACACCAATGCCAATTGTCAGCCCTGCGCCAGTATTAGTGCCACCAGGAGCGGCACGCGCCGGACCGCCACCGCAGGGTCCACCACAATTATATCCGCCGCAACCACAAACGGCGCAACAAAACATATACTCACAACAAAATGGATCAAGCGTCAGTGGTAAGTAACTACAACTCATTTTTATAACGATAATACTAAAAAATTCATAAGTTGCATGTAAATATGTATTTAAACAAAACAGTACCATTTACTATAAATATTTATGTATTCTATTTACATAAAAAATTGCGCAAAAAAAAAAAATAATAATAGTTCAAGACTTCAAATGCTAAGCTAAAAACAAAATTTCGGTAATATTTCAGATTATTAAGTGCTATTTAAAAAAATAATACATATTTGAATACTAATATAGAACTACTCAAAAATGCACTTTATTATTAAAACACACAAGTCCTACTTTGATGAATTGCTTACTATGAATAAAATAATTAAATATTTTGTAAGCAGACATATTTTATAATAGTACAAATTTTAAAATATGTAAATTCAATACGGCTTACAAAATTCTTCAAGTGCTTATAACATTTTTGTGTATATATAAAAATAAATAATAATTGTGAAATATGTAAAACAATAAAACTTAAGTGCACCGCAAAGTATGCTAACAATTTTCTTCTCTGCTATGCGTCCATCCATATGTAATTTAATTCTATTTACAAAATAATTTTCATTTTCATTTCCATTAATATTATATTATTTTGGTATTTTTATTTACAAACATGAAAATAAAAAAAAGATATAAGACAAAAAAAAACAAAAAAATACAACAACATTCCTGTAACTTTATAGTAGCATGTTAACACGCAAATAACATTACAAAAATACTTACAAAATTGCATGAAAAATGAAAAATTAAGAATTGAAAACTCGAACAGTTGCAATAAATTGCATTCAAGCGCAACTGACTCATCGAATTTGTATGAATTTCAACATTTCACTCTGTACAATTTATTTCAACATTTAAAAGTAAAAATCAAAAATTTAATAGTATTATTTAATATGCAGATACATGAACTTATGTATGTGCATATTCAATCTATTAAAAGTTTTACTTAAAAATATATTTACGGTTCAGCGTCCACCTTTAAAAAAGAATTAGCATTTTTCATATTTTTATGCAGAAAAAATAATAAAATCAAATCATTTTAAAGAATTAATTCAACTAATTTGTGACGATATATTATATATATATTGTAGAACATACAATTAGCACACATTTTTTATGTGTTATGACTTACTTTAGAATTAAATATACTAAATTATTAATACGATTTTAAAAATTTATTGAGATAAACAGTAAAAAATTACTAATTATTTAGCACTTATTGTGTTGGTATGACTACATGCTTATTTGACTTTTAATTTTTATTTATCACTTCATTGATTCTTACTTTTCTGTAAGATCTACGTCCACAATATCCATGAATAAGTACCATTATATGAGCTGATTTTATAACTGGGGTTGATGTGCATTCTTTTCAAATGTCCTAGACTTGTCCAAAGTCTACATTTAATGTATTTAATTTTTTCATTATATCCCTCTATGAACAAATCAAGCTTCTAATTATATTGAATTTATTATGATCTATCTTTCAGCGATACTGACTCGTATATATATTCTAGAGCACGCTCCTCTTACATGCCATAATTAGATTTCTTTTGATGTGATTTAGTAGATCATATTAAAACTTATATATGCGGAGGTTTTGATTTCTTAAGAATATTTTATCTTATCTTACCCTACACTACAATACACTGGTTAGACTTTATTATGTTGAGTCTAGTTGAGTCAGTGCACCTGAGCACTTTTACTCTCTATTAACTGCGAGGTTTCTTCAAAACCCCTTTTCGCGCCTTGACTAGATTATTGTTTATCACTTCATCAGACTAAGCAATAATTGACCTCAGATCTGCATACCTCCCCGAGGAGCTTATAACCATTCTGAGATTTGATAACGCGGTGTTGGTAAGTCTGTCAGATTTCGCAAATAATTTTAGGGCTCTAGTTTTTATGTATTTTTTGACGGTATCAATCTTGAGGTCCCTGAGGATGTCATTCGTCCTAATGTACCAAGGAACTTTGAAAAATCTTCTCAGAGCCTGGCTTTGGGCAATTTTTAGCTGCTGAAAAATAGTGTTTCAAGCTTTGGCAAATATTTTGTATACAACTCCCACTTTTTCACTAATACTTAAAATCCTTTTTCGCATGCAAAATTCTAATAAAAATTAAAAATCTTAGCCAATTCTAGCCCATGTAAATCCAACTCGAAGGAAAGTTGTGTAGTTTAAATACTATTTGACGCAAATGTAAATTCTCCCAATTTTTTAAATTACTAGTTGATACAAACTGAATTTGTACTTATTGTACAAACAAACAAATTAAAATATTTTTTTATATTAAAATATTAATTGTATTATCTATTATAATATAACGGGGTCCTGATCTGAATCACAAGCTTCTTGCCAGGTACTGTCATTATTATTGATTGATTGAATATACTCTTTTTCATGTAATTTGTAAATTAGTTTTGCTTTGTTGTCTGCTTTTTATTAGTTTTCTATGAAATACTAGTTTTTATAAAATACTTGTTCTTTATAAACTACAAATTTGAAACTAGCTATGCTTTCTTGTATTCTAGTAATCTTTAATTTATTACCTCAGTTTGTAACTTATTACTGTAGTTCTTAATAAATTATTTTATAATTTCTTATAAGTCATTACATCTTAATCGATTAATAGTTCTTAATCGATTAATAGTTCTTAATCGTTTTATAGTTCTTCATCCTTTACTTGTTCTTATTTGATGACTTGTTTCTTAATTGATTACTAATTCTTTACAAACTATAATAATAAATTAGAAGTTATTATTATTATTATAATAAACTACAATATTATTATTATAGTAAACTACAATAAGAATAAACTAGTTGACATATGCGGCGACGAACTTAACAAATTGTTAAAATATTAACTTTCGAAAGTCTTGCATACTTTTAGGGTTTTGTGAAATCATCTACATATGACAGACATCAATACTATTTAAGATAAATGAAACAATCAGCTTGTAATTTAATAAATCTCAATTCGATTTTCATTTTATTAAATACTTTAAGGTTCATTAATTTTCATTTCACTCAATATATGAAATAAAACAACGGTCGGTCTGTTGTATGCAAAGATAAGACAGTACAAATATATACCAATCCACTAAAGTAACTATAAATTGTGCTACAGATCACGCCAGTATAAATTTGCATATACTGACCACTAAATAACCTCAGTACGGATGCAGCAATAACAACATCACCAACTGTAAGAGCAGCAAGAACCACATTATACCGCAGTTCAGACATTTAATAATTTAATATAATTTAATGCATTTTTCACATAATTGAAAATGTTTTCATTTTCTTTACATTTTATTTTTTAATCCTTTTATGAAGGTATTTTTCGTATACTCATAAATATATCATCATCAATATTTAACGCAAATGCATAAATATTTTCTGTAAAATTACTGACAAGAATCAAACGAGCAACATTATTGTGAAAATTGTTGCAAACACTGCTATAAACAATGTTGCAAAAGTGATAACAATCAAACAATAAATTCACTTTTCGGTTAATAATTAAGCAAGAAGAAATATATTAAATATTAAACGATAAAATACTATAAATGCGTGGCTGCAATACAACTCACGTCATTTTCCATAAAATGTAAATGCTTTATATGCTGCTTAATTCATTTATAATGCATAATTCTGTGCTTTCATTGCATTAAGCTGGTCTCAGTGCACTTAATGCAATTTCAGTATACATTTTTCATATATCAATGATTATGCTATATTTTTTTTTTATTTTTTATTTTTTCTGTGAACGAAATAATATGAAATGTGTGCAAACGCATAAAATCACTGCATTATACAAAGTACACTGTAAAAATATTGAGAACACTGCATATTAATGCACTTGTACATTAAAATAACGCAACTTCATTTTTAAGACATGTATTCAATTAATTGCCGAAAAAAATAAATGGATGTGCATAAATGTTTATTGGAATTAACGCAAAGATGAGCACGTAGTAAACTAACGTGGAACCTATTGATGAGATACATCTACTGAATTTCAGTAGCAAGAAGGACAGTGACGTGAAAACAGAATATGTTGTAAAATGGTTTTAGTTATTTTTTAATATATAAATTGTAGTTGTTCAATGGCGTTTCTTAAGAAAATTAATTATATTTGGTAGAATTGTTATGTTTTATATGTGAAACATAGTTTATTATTCAGAATAAAAAAAAAAGCATAACTGAACATTTGTTCGTCTTATGTTTTCTGTATTTGGAGCTGTTAGATGGCACTTTTGCTAGTTTTTAGTACAGTCTTCATAATTTTTTTTTCTAATATTTTTGCGTGCACATTGTGCTAGTAACTAGTATTTTGAGTTCTTGCTTTTTTGTTTTTTTTAGATATTTATATGAATTAAATTGAGAGTAGATTGCTTGTGATTGGGGGGAGTGAAAAGAAGTTATTCATATGCAGTATAAAATATTTATTGTATGACTTGACTTCGTCAATAATGATGTTGTTGATATATTTTTGTAATGAAAATCTAATATTACGAATACTCTTTTTAACAAACGTCGATCATTGATTGCTTTTATGCATTTGTATTTGAGAAATATTTTTTGAAATACGGCAGGAAAAAAAGAGTGTGAAAAGAATACCTAAAATACTAAAACACACTTATAGTTTCTATATAATTGGTTATAGAAAATAATGAATACTATATCAATACTATGATGATTAGATCTATAAAAAAAAATAGATATAAAAGTTCAATGGGACGCAACTATAAACCTATGCAATTATATGTTTTTGAATCATTTTTAAAAAATATTGACTTTACTGGAAGCTATTGACTATACTTGTCAAGGAAACGTTTGTTAAATTGGATGTATATTAAATTATATTTGTCTTATTTTTCAATTCAATTTTAACTTCTCTATTATCCTATAATATGCGTTTTATTAAATATTTTGTATTATTGTGAATAAGGAATATATTCAGTTTGTTTAAAACCCAAACATAATAA